GCTGAGACTAACCCAACTGAAAAAGATCCCAAAATAGTAAAAAGGGACATGTACTTTATATGTAACTTTTCCTTACTATTATTTGATAAGATAACTTTCTTTATGTTATCTTGTTATCATCAAATAGGGGGAGATTGTTGATCCTCTCTCTCAGTGATTTGATGATAATCCCTTTTTTTCCTTTCACGTTGTGTTTGTGTTTCTGTATTTTCAGTTCTAGCGATCATCACTGAGTATGTTCAGTGATCGCTGAAGAACTTGCTTTGTAAATTCATCAGAGACAACAATACTTCAAGAACACAACACTCACACCAAAGAACCTTCATCGAACGTCAAAGACTGAAACTGAAGATTAGAGACTGGCGAGTACGTGATCTGAAGCGGTATTCAGTGATTACAAACCTGTCTACATATGTGCGAAGACTGCTCTAGCTTCAGCGAATGATGATGAGACCTCCACGTCATCCCAGCATTCAGCGATCAAAAGATGCTTGCTTAGCACGATAGTTGTTGTCTTGTCCTTTTGCACACAAAGGACAAACCCATACCCTTGCAAAAGTTAGTACGGTACGGAGCCGATTAGTCGACTCTTTGTCCACCAACTTTAGGCAAGGATGTCTGCTYAAGAATAGTGCTTTTGTACTACTCACTATAGCAAAGAACAAGCCTTCCTTTTAAGGCTTGACACGCACTCTAAACCTACCATATTGCATTAAATGTTCATTTAATGCACTAGGTATAAATAGAAGTGTTTCTTCTCTTTGCAGAGTGCGCGCATCACTCTTCAACCTAATTCTTACTTCAAGCATCCTCTAGCTTAAGTAAAGGATCTATCATATAGCATTCTCTTTTCTGTGTTTGCTATAGCTTCATATGTAACCAAAGATTGTTTAGACAGGTTTTTCTTTACCTTATCTTTCCGCAAACAGTCTTGTAAAATATGTATTGATCTTCTCTATCAATATATATTTTAAATTTGAAAACATTGTGTTTGTATTCATCCCCCCCCCCCTTCTACAAACTGTTTCTTATCTTGTAGACCCTTTCGGGACCAACAAGATCACTAAGGTTCATCTACTCTCTTACACCACAATCTGCTCTCACCACATCTCAGAAAAAACACACGTCTTTCTCTTTTCTAAATGGGAATCGAAAGCAATCAGAGGAAGGTGAACCTATTGAAACCAGATCAGAGTCTTGAAGATATTGAATCCCTTCCAATGTTCATGATCGTATAGCTGCCTGAGTTTGGGATTGTGTACTCGAATGAAGTTGGAGAAAAGAAATTTATGAGACTCAAAGATCTCTCGGCGTAATCAGATGGCACAATGAAGCTAATCAAACTAAGACTGTCAAACAAGCTATTTTCCAACAGGGTTCTATTTAATCTTTCAGCAATCCCATTTTGTTGTAGGTTTCTTGGAACGGTAAAATGTCTCACTATTCCTTCTTTTCTACATACCTCTTTGAAAGGATCAGAAGTATATCCACCACTATTATCATTTCTTAGAACTTTTATCTTCCTTCCAGTTTGGTTCTCTATCCTATTCTTCCATACCAAGAAAATACTCAACACCTCATCTTTATGCTTCATCGTATAAACCCAAGAATTTCTAGAATAATCACAATAGAGCTTACAAAATAATGTTTACCAGCCTTTGAAGCTGTCATGGTTGGACCCCAGACATCTGAGTGAACAAAGTCAATGATGCCCTTCGTTTGGTGTGTTGCTGTACCAAACGTCACTTTTGTCTGTTTGCCAAAAACACATTTCTAACAAAAGTCTATCTTATCGGTTTTGACACCCTTTAACAACCCTTGTTTTGCCAATCCTTGTAAAGCATTTTCTCTGTCTTGACCAAGCCTCAAATGTCACAACTTTGAGGCATCAAAATCAGCAACTTTATTACAAACGACAACTTTTGAAACCATTGTTGCAGCACCTATAATGGTATGTCCCTGCAACACATACAAATGACGCTCTCGTACTGCTTTCATCTCAACTAGTACTCCTTTTTTTACGTTTATAAAACCATTTGATGAAGAGTAGTTGCAGCCATCAGTCTCCAATGCTCCCAAAGAAATCAAATTCTTCTTCAATTTAGGAACATACCAAACATTTTCAACTCTCTAACCACCCCATCATGATGCTTGAACTTCACAATCCCAACTCCTTCTTTCTCTAGACTGTAATCATCACTAACCAAGATTATACAATGACTCTTCAAATCCAAACTAGAGAACCAATCCTTATTTGGACACATGTCCTGAGAAGCCACAGTATCCACCAACCATACATTAGAGAAAGTATTCGATGTTGCTACTAATACAAATTCTGACCTAGACTCATCTTATCCATATGTGACATTAGCCTGAGTGCCTTTATTCTTATTTTTCAGCTTTGAACAATCCTTTTTCAAATGTCCAAATCTCATGACAAAAAGCATACTCATTTCTCCCCAAACATCATCTTCGTTTATAGTTTCCTCTACTACAGGAAGGAATTATTTTTCTATTATTGTGACTTTTTCTCTCAAATGTTCTTCCCAAAACAACCAAAGCATCTGATGTGAAAGCATTCATTTGTTTATCAGCATGTCTATCTCATAATTCATCAAAACATTTGAAACGTCTTCAAAACAATAGTTACTTTGCCATATAACAAAGTAGTTGTCAAATGAGCATAAGAATCAATTAGAGAATTCAAGAAAATCATAGCTTTGTCTTCATCTTTGATTTCTTCATCCGAGTTCAATAAATCAACAACTAACTGATTAAACGCATCAAGGTGATCAATCATTTTCGTATATTCTTTATACTTGAAATACAACAACTTCTTCTTCTTATAAAGACGATTCTTAGCACTTTTAGTCATGTATTTGTCTTCCAACTTCTACCATAACTCTTTAGCTGATGTTTCCCGCATCACATTGAACTTTTGTTGCTTAGCAAGACATAAACGGATTATAGAACAGGCCATCTTGTTTATCCTATTCCAATTTGCAGTAGACATCTCTCATGGCTTGTCTTCTAGAGCCAAACCCAAATCTTGTTGAGCCAACACATCTTTTACTTCACATTGCCACATTCAAAAATTGTTTGTCCCATCGAATTTTTCAACTTCAAACTTGGCATTCTGGACGGTTGTCTTTGCAACAGGAAATACCAGTTTAGCGTACGGATTAGTATCATGCTCCTAATCGTCTGCCATTTACCAACCTGACTTTGATACCAGTTGTTATAAAAACAAAGTTTCAATAGCAAACAATATCTGAAAACATAGAACACACCATTACCTATCTGGTTAACACACAAATTCACAACAACACAAAATTGGTGTTGTGATTCAAATCAAAAAGAAAAAATTAGAAGGAACACAAAAATTTACGTAGTTAGGCCTTAGCTTACATCCTCCGACCAGCAGGGATAAATTCACTATCAATATTGTGGAGATCACTAAGGTTCATCCACACTCTTACACCACAATCTGCTCTCACCACATCTCAGAAAAAACACACGTCTTTCCCTTTTCGTTTTTAACTGTCTTACAGTTACTCACTACTGTCCTCTCAATTAGCAATCAATTATTGCTTTTAATAATATAGCCAAATGAAAAATAAAGCCATAATACAACAAGCAAGACACACATATATCACCCAATAGCTGGGGGTGATAATTTTGTATCAAATTAAACCAAACCAACCAACCAACATTGTATCAACACTACCAATTAAATAAGAACATATTTAAGTGGTACCAACCATAGTTGATTGGTAGTAGCACATCAAATATGCAAACCCGATTCGTACACGGTATTGCCTATATTACTGTAATACTAACTTATTTAATTATTTATTAATTTAATTAATTATAAAACATATTTATTGATTTTGAAGTTTCGTAATACCCACTTCTTTTGTTTTGGGTAGTTGGATATTTGCAAATTTTATTCCTTGCAATTAAAAATCCTTAAACATAATATGTATTACCTGCAAACGAAAAATGTTACTCAAAACTTGAACAAGATGATAGCTTTCATGTATGTAATTTGAAGTTGATACAACTCTAGTACCTACCAAAAATATTGATACAATTAAGTTGGTATTAAGTACAGAAGAGATGGTTCAATCCTTTTTTTTTTTTTTTTTTCGAAACAAGAGATCCATGGATTAGATTCCTGATGTAATAGATATAAATGGTGTGGTTATACGATATAAAATTTTAGATACTAATAATAATTGATTAATACACAGTATTAAACTAATTTTTTTTAGAGAATTATATAAACCAAGTCCACCCAACAGGTGCTTGAGATCAAATTGTTATTCTTAAAATTTTATTACTTCTTATTTCAACCTAACACTGTATTAATATTATAAAGATATATAATATAAAAAAGGATCGAAGACTAATTAAATATGGATCTTATTCAAGAAGTATACAAGTTCAAAATTGATTTGAAAGAATATGGTGGACCATGTGTGGTATAATTAGAACTACCTTGTATAAATAGAATACCGAATAAATACAAGTATATAATAAATAGAATATCGAGTAAATATAAGTATATAATATCTCAAGATTCATTTAAAATAGAAAAAAGTATAAATTCTGGTAAAAGACATTTGTAGATTTTTTCAAAA